TAGACATCTATCTTCAACCTGTCTGCCAATTTCAGTTTATTTCCTCTGTAAACACAGAAATGACCTCGTGCATTCATTCAACACTTTGATACACAACACTTGCTCTGAGCAAGCGATGGACCAGATGGGTGTGGGGCGAGAGGAGAACTGAGGAAAGAAACAATGAAGCATGAGCAGGTGGATGGGTGAACACAACATGCAGATACGTCTAAAGTTTCAGGTGAAAGAAAATGTGAATCTGTCACTCATACTAGAGCTCCTTTCACAAAGCGTCCTGCAGTGACCTCTCACCTGGGCGTGGCCTTCCTCCTGGCCTGTCTGCAGGCTGCTGTTGTTATTGCTGGGTGGGTTTGACTCAGCGGAGAGGATCTTCTTCTCCTCAGCGCCTCGTTCTTTGATGCACTGCAGACGTCCGGCACAGCTGAGCTGCTGCGAGAGCAGCGACTGGAGCTGGGCACGCTCGATGGAGCCCAACAGGGTCATTGACTCTGGGAGAGGAGGACAAAACGGGGCGAAGGAGCAGCTTTTATGTGAGATAAGGGAAGAGTGTGAGAACTTGTTTTAGAAATAAGGAGTGAGCTAACTGTGGCGATCCCAACCATGTCCTTGAGGCATGTCCTCTTTCTTAAGGTCACATATATATATTTTAGGCCTGCTTCTTTTTCTTTCGTCCTCCACTTGTAAGTTTATTATTTTCTTCTTTACAAACAAATGAAATAAATAAAGGTCACACTGTACACCATGCAGGATGCTCCAGGTTTCTGGCTCTGGTAGAAAATACTATTTTATGTTTGTTAAACTTTGGCATTTTTTCACAGCAAGTAATATGAGAAAAAATTATGTTTTTTGCAACAGGTTGCATGAAGCCAGTTAGAGACTGTGTACATTTTTTTTAACAAGGACGGGCGTCAGTGGGAGCTGTGTAAGAGTTTTCAACTAAAACGTTTAACTGTGATCAAAACTGAGCAGAAGCTCCAGTTCTGTCACCTCCATTAGACTATTTTATTCATGTGCTGAATAATAATGAATCAAGGTTATTCTTCCTAACTGTAATTTGTTGTGTTGGTCAGTAGCATAAAAGGACCAGAGCTGTGGTCTGGAATTAGAACTATGTGCCGCAGAGTTATGAATAAATGAACCCTGTAAAGCCATTAAGTCACAAACCTAAGGTTCAGTAAAATTTGGTAAACCTAGCATTTGAGGTTTTCTTTGGTCCACTCAGTTGTCGCTGTGGTCCGCACATTACCGTCTGTCCAACGAGACAATTTATACTGTCATTTAATTCACACGCTCTGAATCAAATATTAAACTGATGGAGTTTCAGGTTCATATCAAAGGAAACCGCTGAGTATGTTGCAGGTTTTATCATAAAATGCAACATAAATATGAAGTATTAATGATGTTGTTTTGGGGCTATGGCTAATAGCCTGTTAAGCCCAAAGGGCTTTCTGAGGTTCTTCTTCTGAGTATTTCTCTGCAATTACACTGTGTCAACAATCTTGGTATCAAAATGAAGCTAACACTTGTGAGATTTTGGTATAAATATTATAGGATGTTACTGTGTAAAAGTTACTGAGTTACTACAGAAATATTCAGGCGTTCTGTATTTGTCCATTTTTGGCACACTTTGGTCACCAGTTGAATTTTTTAGGTGTTATACAGCAGAAATTATTTAATTTCACTTACATGCCTAAAATTGCTTGTTTTTAAATATCATTGAAGAATTACCAACGCAGTCACATAGAGCGGGCCCATTCTCCGTGCACCACGGACAGTTTAAATGGTCTCTGGCTCTTAAAACTATGAGGGCCTCAAGCTTCGGCTTCTATTGGCTGACTTGCATGATCGACACCTCTTTTTAATCGTTTGAGCCAATAGAATCACAGTAATGGTGCCACGTTCACGTCACTTCCACTAATCAGAAGTTGCGAGGCCAGACTCCACATGGCCCTAAATTTACAACACACATTTACAGTCACGTGACTTTAACTGGGTCAAAAATGGAAGTTGTGAAGGAACTGGCTCTGATGCATCGTGTTAGCACTCCTGTTACGAGGAGCTACAGCGGCTACCGATGACAAACAACAGAGGTCGATGTCGATTATTTGGATAAAAGACTTGACGTCACAGAGGGTTAAACTGCTGTTCATCCTCTTTGCCCCGGTACCAGGGGCGTGGGGGTCAAGAGGATGGCAACTTTACACAGTGGTAGCTTTAGGTACTCCTAGAAAGCCACAGAAAGAGAATGATATTAAAAACACGATTCTAATAAAGTCATGTTAAAAACACACGTATCTATGTATGTGTTTATTCAGGGGGGTAGTGAGTCATTATACGGACATCACAGTGTGGAGCCGTGACTTACCAGCTGATTTGAGCAGGGGTAGAGCCTTTAGTCGACTTTTCATTAGGATGTTTAGCAAGTCTCTGTAGCTGCAGCTGAGTGTGATGTACTGCACGTCGCGCACCATAATGTCCTCCACACGAATGTTGTACACCCTGAAATGAGAACGGAGAGGATTATTCATTTGCTGTAGACAGGAAGGACTCGCGAGAGTAGGAAAAACACGAGCAAGCTTTTAGGGAAAATAAATGGCAGCAACAAAGTTCTTGTTTAATTCCATGCAAGTCCATTTTAATGGGAGGAGGATCGGGCCCAGCGAGGAGCAGCCAACCACTGGGCTGACCGGCTTCGACTTGAACATCGAAGAAGACAACTTCACCAAATACCTGATCAGATATTAACTTAATATTGTTTATGCACATTGATTTCAAGCATTTCCAAATGTTCTTAATTACCTACGTAACACGTTAGTTTTTTGTTTGTTTGTTTTGGGGGGCAGTTATTAATAGCTTTTAATAATTAAACAGTTAAAATTATTCTTGTTTGATGTTTCCCACTTCTAGTTTTTCAAAAGGCCAAAACCTGTTTATCATGACAGTTGTGTGCTTGTGTTTCTCCAGTGTATACATACTCGTGCTGACCCCAGCCCAGCTCTGGGAGATAGGGAAGCTTCTTTATCTTGATGATGGAGTCATAGATGGAGGGCTGCAGGGACTGGGCCACAAGGTTGGCCAGGACCACCGCTACCAGGGCCGGCAGAAGGTGGGAGATCTGTCCAGTCAACTCAAGCACCATGACCACGGTGGAAAATGAGTGGCTGACTGCTCCGGACAAAGCTGCAGCACCTTTTGTTGGGAAGAGGAACAGCGAGAGAAATTACTGCTTAAATGTTTGTGTGCTACAGTTGTGTCTTCTACTCGTCAAATACATTTCACTGCAATGTTGACCCTGTGCTAACTTGCGTATGACAAATGAAACTGAAAGGATTCAGATAGTTAAGAGTGAGGAAAAAATTGCATTGTGTTTGCAATTTTGTCTTGTTACACAATATTTGGAATTAAATAAAACAAACAAAACACTACATTTTAGGAAATATTAGTGGGTGTTTTTGTTTTTTTGTACTACTTGGACACTTAAGTGGCCCTCCAATGAGACGACGGTGCCAGAAGTGGCCCGCGGCTCATTTGAGTTTGAGACCCCTGCCTGTTTAAGGCCTTCCAAGTTTGTCCCAGCAGGTGAGGGGGCTTGACTGTCTGGTCATTTACATAAGCCAGAAGCTGTCTGAGCGGGAAGGTAGATACAGCTCTGTGGACGAGCAGTATCTGGCAATACAGTGGTTGGTTGACCTTCTTCATTACTACCTCCTGGGCGACCCTTTTATCCTCGGTTCAGATCATGCGCCACTACAGTGTCTCCACTGAAAAGTGTCTGAAACATTCACGAAACTCCGAGGTGTGTGCATAGGGTTCTGTGAGCTACAAGGGTCTCCAAAACGTTAAGAATGTTATTTTAGTTACTTTGTACCAAAGAAAGTATTTGTCATTTTAAGTAGTCATGAGAGAGTCGCTAACTTACCCACCACAGCGTAGCCTCCTGGCACTATGGGATAGATAGCATGACCTGCATGAATGCCTTCCGGGAACCAGAATGCCATGCATTCTCCAACCAGACGGCCCAAGCCGGCCCCTGAAATGTGGAAGGAGATAGAGATTCACTATCAGTATGTGGCTGTTTATCAAAATCAGCAGTTCTTAGACTTGCAAGAATTTTCAAACATGTGCACAGAAAACTGAAATCGCTATGGAGCACCATCAGCCTGACAAAAATAAATCAAGTCAAAATATAAAACTTATCTAAAATAAAAGTATTGAGTTTAAAATCATTATTGAATCAGTCACTACAGTAATCTAAAATAGGGTTGTCAAACATATGGCTCAGGGGCCAAAATGAACCTTGCAAAGACTCCAATGTGGTCCACTGGAGAACTCTGGGAAATTCAGTTCACAGATTTTAGTCTTGGAAAAGGCCGACTGTGGAACCAAGAACTCAGGCTCTACAGGACTGAAACAGTGAGTTTAGTGTCACCAGGCTGGTGAACAGAAAACCCAGTGATATATTCTGCTAAACGTCACCGTGAACATTGTCCAATTCTGAGACAATAATTTCACTTACTTTGTTGTCAGCTTCACAAACACCAAACTCATTGAAATAATCTCAGCTCAAAAACATTCTTGCACCCATTTCTGTTATTCAGGCGGGGGCAGCCCAGCTGTTGCCAGTGCTTGTCCTGTCTTCCAATGTGAGGGCAGCGGTAACCCAGCCTACTCCTGCACCCGCACCTACTTCAGTCTGCTCCAGTACCCATGCTGGTCCCCAGGGTGAGGCCAGCCAAGACACGGTTGCCTATAGGCTTGAAATGACGAAATGCAATATCCCAGAATCCATTTCGCCCAAAACTCAAATGAGGCAGTGGCGGAGGAACACAGAGGGGCGGAGTTTGAAATATTTTTCTTTCTGGGTCACAAAATAAACTTTTAAAATATTTTCATGTGAGAATGTTTCTGTGTAAACTTCAAATACCTGCTCGATTTATCAAGACATCACATATTTGCATAAGTGCTCTGATGTTTTCGGAGATGTCTGTTGAAGGAGTATTGAAGGTCTCTGTTTTGTCTACAGTTTTAGTGCCCCTCGATGGGTAGTTGGCAAATGTTTGTAGGCAAGTCAATTTCTTCTTGACTATCATTCCTACAAACTACTGTCAATTCCAGCAATCTGCTAGTAACCAAATCATTCACAATGTTTTCTGTAGTAGTGGCGTAAAAACCTCTATTACCATTTTTGCATAATGACAGCAAGCAGGCAACTTCACACAACCACTAGCTAAACCCTTCAGGAATACTTCTTTTGTCCACTGGTGATTACTCGGAGCATGCATGACATGACTCGAACTTCCAGTAACACAGTGAGCAATCTGACTCAGAAAACGTCCTTCGATGCACATGTTAAACAACATATGTCTGCCTTTATGCACATACCACACAAATATTGAGTGATGTTGAAAAACAAATTCATGGATGTGTTACTTCCAGGCTGGAATGCTGTCAGTCGTTATTATCGGGATGTCCTAAAAACTCCCTGATGAGCATTCAGTTAGTCATCTCTACTGTTAGGATCAGGCTTCAAACTTTCCTTTTTGCCGAAGCATATTGTTAGAGCTGGTGACCCTGAATCCTCCCTCAGTTATGCTGCCTCAGGTCTCGCCTGCTGGGGGAGTCTTTCCTTTTTCCCATTTCTTTTCATTCTGTGTTTATATACACAACTACAATTTTATTTATTAATCTCTGGCTGTCTTCAACTGTGCCTTTTATCCTGTTTCTCTCCCCTCACAGTCATGGCAAATGACTGTTCACCCCTGAGCCTTGTGTTAACCCCTTCAAATGTGTTTCATCTGTTCTTCTTCACAGAAAAACATCTTACCAATGACAAGTACTGGCATGAAGGCTCCATAGGGCACTGGCATGGTGATGGCCAAGGCACACATCCAGAACTAGAAGAAGAAGAAGAAGACATCAACAGAAAGAATAGGGTGACATTTCAGGAGCTGCATGGTTTTATCTGGTGTGTTTCTAGATTCCAGCTCACCACAAGGCAGACCGCAGTCTAAAAACCAGATGCTATTTTATACAGACCTTCAATGCGCGATTTCTGTTTTACTCTGCTCACAGTTTTTTAGATTTACTGTAGGGTTATTTTAATTTGCACAGCTCTTTTCTATAGGCTCATTGTAGGCAGTGTGTGCACACAGGAGATGCACAAATCGGTCACATGCACTGTAGCTTGCATAGTAAATTGACTGAGGAAGTTTTCTCTGACCAGACATCCTTAAACTTCAGTTGAATACCCTTGGTCTAAATCACAGGTCGGTTCTGGTAATGAGAAGCATCATCAGAACGGTTCCTCAGAAGTCAATGTGCCATATCAACCTTTGCATTAGCAATCATGCTCAACACTTCCACGCTATATAGAATAATTTTATAGAACTATATTTGTTCGCAGATGTTGGGAAAGTGCAGATCAGCTGTTTTAAACAAAAAGCAAATAAAACAAACACTTTTTATCCAAAACAAGAACTCTACAACAGCAAAGGGACTGTACAAGAGAAAATACAAATGCTATGTATGGTCTACTCACAACAGTGATAAGGAAAAATACTAAGGCATGTTTGTTAATACATGTTATTGTGGTCTATGGTCTCCCACTCAGAGACACAGGTCTCCAAGTGTCCGGCAGTCAGACGGCTACGGGAGGTGCTGAGAACATTATTTGTGTGATAGAAAGTCTGCTCACACAGATATGTGGAGCCAAACACTGTCAATAAGGCCTGTGCAATGCTCTGAAGAC